TCAGGCCAAGGAGTCCTTTGCCAGGGTCACAATGCTCCCTGACATGCATCCCCTCCACTGTTCTCTTCACTGGCTTTACCTGTATAACTTCTACTCCCTTGTCAATCTTGGCTCCAAACATTTCTTCTACAGGAAAACCCTTCTTTCTTTTTAGTACCAATTTTTAAAGTACTGAGTTTTATAATGCCTTGGTATTGGTTATAGTAGTTTTTCTGTCCTTTATGAATATCATTCTGGGCTCCTGGGTTTTCATAGATGCAATGAGCATTAGTCATATAGTCTTTTTTTATGCCCAAACTGTCTGATCTTTGAGCAGTGGGAGGCCTTCAAACTGGCCCCTGCATTCTTTCAAGGGAAGCCTATTAGCCACTGAAAGTGTCCTTGATTTCTGGTGCATCTATACTTTTCCTGCCTAAGCTCTGTATTCAGCCATTTGTCCAAGGAACACTGGTTCCTTTTAATGAGATCAGACCCCTTGAAATTTAATGACAGTATTTTAGAACTTTAAAGAAAACATTTCATTACACAGTGAGCAATAGATTTGGGAAATGTAATGTACAGATGCTGAAACAATGAAAAGATTGTGCAAATATATCTGGAAGGTATGGATAGCAGATTTAGAATATGCTATTAGGACAGACCACTGCATCATAGCCTGACTTCCATAGTGAATTTCACCATGTTTCTTTAAATGCCCTGTAGGTACCTCAAATGCAAAGAACAGAAAACCCAACAAAGGCCCACTTAGCTATGCAGGGCTTTTCACGTTTTATTGGTTGTCATAGCTCTAAAATTAGAATCACAAGAGAGAATATTGCTACTAGCACTGGCACATTGTCAGTGTTAACATACGTGTTAATGGTGAAAGGCATCTGAAGGTCACCCTTCCAGGGCTGGTATGATGATTCTAAAATGCCATCAGGGACCCAGGCCCCTCCATCTTTCTTGTCAGCAACAGCCTTCATCCTCATGTCTGCCAGCTGCCTCATTTGACTCTTAGCACTGTGTCCTTGTTTCAAGCAGAAGACAGAAACACAAAAGGCACAACTCAATGTGCCTTCTTCTCAGCAGTTCTACCCACCACCTTCCTATTATTCCCACTGGACAGAACTGTGTCAGGTGTCACATGGTCTCCTCAGCTGCAATGGAGGCTGGGAAATGTAGTTTTCACTAGATGTATTGCTATCTGAAACAAGCTCTGAGTAAAAGAAAAAAGAAGAGGGAATGGACATAGGGTAGGCAATTGCTATGCCTGCCACAATACTGCCATCTCAGACAAAAATAGCAGGCTTCAAGGACATGATTTTTTTTCTATTTCTATTTTAGATAATTGCTTCTAAAATAATGAAGAGACAGGAGCTGTGCATAAAAGTGGGGAAAATTTGACCAAAACAGATGACCTGTCTCAGCAGTTGAACAGTGTATGTGCATAGACATTATAATAGCATTAATTCCTGTTTTTATTTTCATTTTCATTGAGAGTTACAGCACTAAAATCAGAGTCATGAAAGGGGACCTTGCTACTGATGCTGCAGCATTGTCAGTGCTAACTGACAGATCGAAGGTCAACTCAGAGAAACACAATGAGGAACGAAATATCTTCCATACTGAGCAGGTTCCTCTCATGTCCCTTTAACTCATTATGAATTATCCCTTTGATTCATTGCCCCTTTAAATAAAATGGACCTTATAAAAGCTTGGGAAGAATGAAATTTCTCTTCTTAAATTTCAGGACGTTCCTAAGATATTAACACAGAGACTAGTGTTTGCTTCTCTGACTAAAACATGAGCTACTAGAGCCAGTGTTGTGACACAGCAGGTGAAGCCACCACTTCCAGTCCTGGCATCCCATATCAGAGTACCATTTGAGTCCCAGCTGCTCTGCTTCAGAGCCAACTCCCTGCTAATATGCCTGGGAGAACAGTGGAAGATGGTCTAACTCCTTGGGCTCTTAACAACCACATGGCAGACCCAAATGGAATTTTAGGCTCCTCGCTGCAACCTGGCCCAGTCCTGGTTGTTATGGCCATTTGGAGAATAAGACAATAGACAGAAATCTCTCTCTCTCTCTCTCTCTCTCTTTCCTCCCTCCACCCTCTCACTCTCTCACTCTGCTTTTGAAATAATAAAGTATTTAACTCTTCACTTTAAGATCTGCCTCTTCTGAGAATCCTCACCCTGCTAGAATACCTTTGTGCATAGATGCTCAGTGAGTGTTCTGGGTAACAACTGGAGTGATGGCCTCAGTCAGGACCTCAGGTGGAGACGCTGCAAGGAGGATGCGCCATGTGTCTCCTTGAAAAGAGACACGGACTTTTCCTTGTGTTGCTAGCAGTTCCCACCTGCCATCTCCTGCTCCAGGTTTAAAATCTTGGTGTCCAAATAATGTCCATTCCCAAATGTTGTTCATGATTGAATAAAATGAAGTTTAATTCTTAGACACCATTCCCCTATCCTATTCCAGTTTCTGAGTTGGGGGCATGCCACTGCTGGGAGCCAAGTTCTTGGTTAAATGTGATTGGAAGAGGAGTAAGAATTATTCAGATATTCAAAGACTGGGATTAGCATTTCTTTGTTACTTTCCACCTTTTAAATGCTTCACAAACACTGAGGTGTGTGTGTGTGTGTGTGTGTGTGTGTGTGTAGGGGGGGCGGGGTTGGTGAGATGGTTGGAAAGAGATAGAGAAATGCCACAGTTGTGTGCATAACTCAAGCCAAACAAAACTTTAGCCCCAGTCTAACTATTCCCAGCAGGGGCACTTGTGGCCTGAATTACCCAGCCAATGGCCCTAATGCTACATTTCTCTTTGCCTATGCAGACAAAACCCAACTGAAGCTTTCTTGAGCATCCTGCTGTGGGGTTCATGCCTGTCATTAACTGCTCTTTTTTACACGGAAGGTCATGGGGCCATTGAAAGGTTAAGGAGTTTGCTTGGTTTAATGCTAAGCCAGGATCACCCTGTGGTAATGGTTTTTTTCTACCAGGAAAACCCAAGCATCAGATTGAGAAATCAATCAGATTCAGGCCTTATTTTTTAGACATCTAAGCAAAATGGTAAATAGCAGCAAAAATACATGCCCTACCTCCTCTTGTAAAATATGTTTCATCACAGGGGAAAGAAAAAAGAAAGAGGCTCTATTTTTAAAACTTTTATTTATTTACTTATGTTCTTTGAAAGACTGAGCGATCTAGACAGACAACTAGAAACCTCCCATTCACTGGTTCATTCCCCAAATGCCTACAACGGCTGGGGCTGGGCCAGGGCCAGATCAGGGCAGGAGTAGCAAACTCAACCTGGGTCTCCCACATGGGTGCCAGGGACCTAACTACTAGTGCCATCAACCTCTACCTGCCAGAATGCACATTAGCTGGAAACTGGAATTGGGAGTCGGAACTGGAAGTTGAACCCAGGAACTGAGATATGGGATGTGAGCATCTCAAGTAATGTTTTAGCCACTGTGACCCAAGAACTCTATTTTTAACCCAGTTAAGCAGTATGCCTTGTATGTTGCTACAGCGAAATTAGGGTTTGATTAGCAGAAATACCTAAAACAATTGGGAAACAAATTCTGGCTTCCTTTTGAAATTAGCATTTCTAAATATTGGGTCAGGAATTTTCCATGAGAATCCAACTATCCTTCCTAACACTGTTGGGGAAGTTTTAGGATTGGCAATCTGGAAACAATTATATTCAATTATCTCCCCCTTTGGTTATGATAAATAATCTTATGGTCTTATGTTAAGGAAATAGTTGGGGTCTCTCCCCCACCCCCTGCTGGGCTCAGTAAAAGAATAATACATTTGGCTTCTGTTGCAGTCAGCCATGCCTCAGAATGCCAAGGCAACTCCCTCCACAGGGAAGTGCCAGAAGACACAAACCATGGCAGAGGTGTCTGGAAAGGTGAACAAAGACACTGCCCCTGGCCACATCTCCTGAGCAAAAGCAAAGGGCAAGCTAAAACATGCTAAAGAGTTGCCAGCTCTCCCCTCTGTCACCGCATGCTTTAAAGGGGAGACTTGCTTTTCTGAGTCCTCCTCTTGATTTCTTCCAACATTCACAAAGGTGCTCTGTGTATGTTTCTCCTCGGGCTGTTCTTGACCTTGGATACTCAGTTTTGAGTGTTTTGATACCAGATATAACCTTTTGGCTGGGTCAAAGGCACTGCCATTGTAAGGGGAGGAGGGAGGGCAGGAAGCGGAGGCAAGTGTGTGTGGAGACAGTGTGCTGGAATACACACTCCCAAACCCCAAAACATCCCCAAAGAATAACAAGAACATTAGCCACTGACCCAAACACTGGTGAAATTCTATCTCCACATCTCCCAACACCAGTAAACATGGAAATACCATCCCTGAAGGAGTGGGGGAAGCCTCCAATGAGAGCTCCAGGGAGAATGGGAGGTGGAGAAGAAGGGTTGGTTTGGGGAAAGAATCCAGCAACTTCTACACTTTTCAATCTCTAGAAAAATTTTCCCCCAGAGATACTAAATAGAGATAGTTTTCACTATCTGGGAAAAACACTGGACTTGCACTTTTTGGAATAAAAACATTAAATTGCAGAATGCCATTTTTATCACATTTTCTTTGGCTATCCCCATCACTTCATCCTCATTTCAAATGGTTTTATCCGCTTCACTTTCCACCAGTTTCACTGACCTTTCTATTCCTCAGATTAGCCAACTTCATCCCTATCCTAGGCTGGTCTTATACGCTGTTCCCTCTTCTAGAAAATCCACCCCCCACCTCCAGTCTTACAAGGAGCTTCCCTCTGTTGTTCAGATCTTGTCCCAGGCATTACCTTCACGGAGAGGCTGGGAGACGTTTCCTGACCTTTATCTTTTTTGAATAGAGAAAAGCCAACCATGAGGTAGTGGAATGAGTTGGGAATACCTTGCTGGCTTGATTCCAGTTACTGGACTTCTCCTTATTCCTGAGGTTAATGGGCTGTTAAGGGTGGCATTTTTAAATCGTGTATCTCCTGTTCGTTTGTTTGTTTTAGAACAACTTCAACATGGAGAGTGACTCCACGTTGGAAACCCACTTTCCTCTCTCCAAGGAAGCAGCAGGGGAGCATCCAGACGACCGGACTGCACACCAGCCCTTCCCCAGACAGCGATTCCAGCAAGAGACGGGGCGTCCTTCACTGCAAAGAGATGGCCCCAGATCCTTTCTCCTTGATCTACCAAACTTTCCAGATCTTTCCAAAGCTGATATCAATGGGCAGAATCCAAATATCCAGGTAATTCTGGGCAGCTGTAGGTCTGCAGAAAATGAAATAGTCTATCTTTGTTTCCTGATCTGATTCCAATGGAAACTGCTGCCTTGCCTTATTTTTCTTCTTAACTCCTCAATGAATTCTGCTTGGGATCATGACATCACCATAGTAACAGTGTTCCATTTCATCTGTGCAACACCCTTTTATAAAAAAATACATTTATTTATTTATTTGAAAGGATTACAGAGAGAAGGAGAAACAGAAAAAGATTTTTCCACCTGCTAGTTTACTCCCCAGATGGTTGCAATGACCAGGGATAGCCCAGCCCAAAACCAAGAGCCTGGAACTTCATCTGGGTCTCTCTTGTAGGTGGCAGGAGCCCAAGCACTAGGACCATCTTCTGCTGCTTTCCTAGGTGCACTAGCAGGGAGCTGGATGAGAAGTGGGGCAGCCAACTGGTGCCCTTCAGTGATGCCAACATTGCAGGCAGTGGCTTAACATGTACCACAATGCCGGCCCCACAATAATGGCACCATTATTTATGAACCACTCAAAAAAGAAAATGCTGCTAATTTTTTTTTAATTTCTTATTTAGTAAATATAAATTTCCAAAGTACAGTTAATGGATTACAATGGCTCCCCCACCCATAATTTCCCTCCCACTCACACCCCTCCCATCTGCCGCTCCCTCTCCCATTCCATTCACATCAAGATTCAGAAAATGCTGCTAATTAAAGTATGACCCATCAAGGATTATAAGTTACATCCTAATTCTAGAGATACTGAAATATAAAACAAAACCAAATAATATGCCCTGAAATTTATGAAGTGTGGCAGCTACAGAATGGGCCAATTTGACATGTGAATAGTCTAGGCAAACCACAGTTCATTTCAAAGCACCTGGGAAGTCAATTCTTTCTTCTTTTTTTCTTTTTTTTTTTTTTTTTTTTTACAGGCAGAGTTAGACAGTGAGAGAGAGAGAGACAGAGAGAAAGGTCTTCCTTTTTCCATTGGTTCACCCCCCAAGTGTCTGCTACGGCCAGTGCGCTGCGCTGATCCGAAGCCAGGAGCCAGGTGCTTCCTCCTGGTCTCCCATGCAGGTGCAGGGCCCAAGGACCTGGACCATCCTCCACTGTACTCCCTGGCCATAGCAGAGAGCTGGACTGGAAGAGGAGCAACCGGGACAGAATCCAGCGCCCCAACCGGGACTAGAACCCGGTGTGCCGGCGCCGCAAGGTAGAGGATTAGCCTAGTGAGCCGCGGCGCCAGCCAAGTCAATTTCTCTTGATACTCCTCTAGCTTTCCTTCCTCACCAGAAACTCCTTTTGGAAGGTGGCAACCTTTAGTATCTTGAAAGTGTAAATGACTGATAAATTTTTTGATAAGAGGAAGGAAGATGACAACAGAAGTTCCTAAGGGGGCAATGAATCTGTTCCACTAAGATCGTATTGGACCACTAAGATCATATTGGATGAAGCAGAGAGAAGTGGGAGGTAAGGGAAAGAGTGCCTGGGATTGAATATAATAGCACTGCCCGCACTGAAGCAGCACATTTTTATCATTTACAAATCAAATGGTGATCTGATTTGACCCTCCCAACATGCTAATGAGGGAGACAATGTACCTGTCACTTTTTTCAGTGATATAAATAATGCCAGAGGTACCCAGGAAGTTACTATTTGTTTTCTCAAGGTCATATGACTAGTAAATCATAGTTGTCAGATTCAAATCCAGGCTCTCAGACTCCCAGGAATTCTCACTCTACCAATTCATGAATGTAACTTGTACCTCCCTCCATTTCTTCCTAACAATGGACTCTATGATGGCTGAAGGAGGCTCACCCCCAGGCAGTCTAGCCCCTACCTTGCCCATGTCCTCCTGTGTCTGCATCCATGCTTTTAAGCTTTACTCTGAATTCTTCTCGATTGTGTAGGTGCAGCTTTTTCTTATCCTTCCTCTCAGTACCAAATGTCAATTAGTAGCCAACATGGCATAGAGTTGCTGAACATGGCCTCAGCAACTCATTAACTAAGTGCTCTCTCACTCACTTGCTTAAACATTCTTCTCTCTCTCTCTCTCTCTCTCTATCTTTATCTCTCTCGCTATCTCTCTCTCTCTATCTCTCTCTCTGCTTCTTTTCTCAGACTAACACCTTCTGCATGATACAGTTTAACACCAGGTTTCCTTGACCAGAGTTGTTTTGCTTATAACACCAATGTCATGCTGTCTAGTGAAAGTCATTGAGACACACAACTTAATTAGAATGTATCAACCAGCCCCTGCCTATACAAAACTCTGCATTAGGTTACAGGAAACTAAGAAATATAAGACTCCTTTCCTCCAGAAAATGACATAGGTGTGACCCTCACGGCTACCACATAAAACAGTGCCAGGAGCATCATGGAAACTGAGGAGGAGAAGATCCCAGTAGTAGGAAGAAGTAGGACAGGGCTCTGTGGATGATACAGCAGTTAAAAATGTCTTAGAGGCCACTCTTTGACAGCCCATATGCGGAGATCAATGTATGCCTCAAATTAACATTTGTGATGAGTCTTGTAGTATTCTAACTGATGACCTGAAGAACAGGCCTTTCTCTGATCCCCCCTCTCTGGGAACGAGCCACATGATCCTCTCATAAAACACAATGGATCCACACAGGGGAGGTGTAAATTGGCAAAAAAGTCACAGACATCTCCATACCATTGTTCAACATTGCAACCAATCACAGCTTCATCTATAGGAAGTAATTTTTAATTGATTACTTGATTTTATGGGTTCCAGGACCAGACAGCAGTTACCTCAATGGTGCTTATGTCAAGCCCAAAACAATCTTAATTTCACCATGTCTAGCATTTTCCCCCAGAGGCCAGAAGTAAAATTGTGGTTCTTAGTGCTGAAGATTGAACTATTAGTGTAATAGATTTAAGAATTACCAATGTAACCCTACAGGGAAATGTCTGGATATAAGGACAATAGAAAGCTGCAAAGGAAGAGTTCTCTTGCTGAAAAGTTACTGGATGCCTGCACTCTACCAGACAATCAAGTTTCAGGCAGAACTTTCAGGATCCCCTTTCTCTCTTCCAGATACATCCTCCTATTTGGAACTGTCTATCTCCTACCAGACCCACATGGGCCTAAATGGTGCAGAAGAACCATGGGGCAATGACAGTTGGTATTCACAGAGCTAGGAATCTAAGATTACTTTGGTGGTAGGGGGCGGAGGGAGGCAGGGAGGGAGGGGTAACCATGATGTGCTTAGCCTTTCTCCAGCCCTTGTGATAGATTTGTGTGTTAATTCACTACAGCAGCCAAGATTACCATAGAGTTTTCATCATATAAGCAGCACTGGTTAGCTGATTGGGAAGTAAGGAACAATTCAGAACCGTCCTTCCTGGATTCCTGAGGAAGAAAGAAGCTGGGTGTGGAAGGAACCAAAGTGAGACAAAGGAGCACACAATAAATGCAGGATGAGTTATGGGAAACCACAATGGACCATGGTTGCTCACAGCATGAGATTCTCTCTGGCAAAGCTTCCTGGATTTTTTACAAAAGGCAACTTCTCCATAAGCTGTCCCAAAAGTATGAAATCTCTTCTGAGACTCCCAGCCACCTGCTTATACTGACTGAGAACAGGTGAAAAGTCATAATCAAAGCTTTGTTTTCACTGTGCATCACCCTGCTTTGGCCCAGAGACAAGACATTTACCTCCAGGTGGTGCTCCCAAAATGGAAGCTTTGGAGGACAGGGTGGAAGAATCAGATATACCCCTCAACAAGGTCTCCATATTTTTCTGGAGTTACCCTTTGGATAGCAAGGGTCACCTTAAATCCCAAAGGTTGAGATCTCCCAGCAGGTTATTGGCCAAATGGATTCAAAACTAGTGCATCTCCAAGCTAGAGACTGTTGAAGCTTAAAATCTAAAAAGAATGAGCCAATATCACCATTTTGACTACTGCCCAGTTTTTTCCATTCCTGGTTTATTCAATCCCTGTGTCTGTTCACCTTCAGCAAGCAGAAAAGAGGGTGGAGGCTACAAAAGTATTATTGATCTGAGGACTTGCTGCCTTAAAAAAAAAAAGAAAATTGAGGTACATTTCTGGAAGCCCACAAAAGATTGGTGCTGGTCACTCAGAAAGATGTTTAAAGAAAGAATGAAGCAGCTCCTACCCCCTGGGAGCACCAGCCCTATGTCTGCACGTAAGCGTGTGTGCATGCATGTGTGCGAGCATACACAACACAGCTCTGGTGGTGCAGCCCCATGCACCACTGCACTTGAGTAAACCAGTTCCCTGGTGGTCCTTTAAATCATGAGGTGCTTTCTATAGGGGAGCGATGGTTTCTGTGTTGGCAACCCTAGCCCCTTCCTTAGAGCACTGCTTTTTTGTTGAAATCCACTGGTTTGACTCAGACGGATTCAGCCAAGCAGACAGCCCTGTTGGTCACTGCGGCCAGACAAAGCTTTTTCTCTCCCTGGGTAGTGGCGTGAAGACAGGTAAAGGGTGCCTCAGTGGGTCAGCTTCCGCTGCCAGAGCCTCTGGTCTCATCTGCCTCTTTCCCTGGCCACTTGCTCCTTACCCTACCTGGTTATCCCTAACTACGGCCAGCAATTAGCACCCCTCTCTCTGAACCCCCACCCTCTCCCCTCTAGTTTCCCAGTTTTTCCCAGTCTTCTGGTCTGGATGTGCTGTCCTTCCCGCTTCTCCAAACTGCCATTGCTGAGCCCATGCCAGGGGCCATGTCCCTCTTGACCCCTTGACTTTTAAGGTGGGAAATCTTTATAAAAGCCTCAGCATCTGGAGAGTGTTTTTAATCCCCGTAAGTCAGGCTACCTCTGTCACAAGTGAATCCAATCTTCATCTTAAGACTAGCTTCAGGCTATGGAAGTGAGTGAAAAAATATACCAACAATGCACAAAATAGAAATGGACTCAAATGCCTGAACTGAGTCTCCATATTAAATTCAAAATAATACAAAATATGGGGTTTGTGTTTTTTTTTTAAATTTATTCAAGAAAGAAAGTAAATCTCCCAGGACAAGTTAGATGTGATCCATAGTATCCTTGGCTGAACTTCTGGTCAGCAACTGAGGTTCAGATAGCAAAGACAAAAATCTCAAAAATACACTCATTATTAGGTTTACTACTGTAGCTATTCATAACCAAATATTCCCATCTTCTGGATCAAGCTGAAATTAGGATTCATTTCAACCTGTACATTTCTGTCTTTTCTGTCCAAGAGAGGGACTTAAAAACAGTCATGTAAAGGCATCTTTCCCTTGCGCCCACTTATTCACATGGCTGTAGGCCTCCTGAGTGCATGAGATACAATCAGATGAGTTGGCCGGGGCTACAAATGTTGTACATTCTTCTATCTCTGATTCCACCTCCTCCTTTTGCTCTAAAATGCTTTTGGAATGTCAGGCCTGGTTAGGTACGAACAAATAAATGCCTGTGCCCAGGACATGGACCTGTACATCCCCAGGAACAAAACTGCACTACTCAGATTCTCATGGGGCACTACTGTGCACAGCATGAGCTGTTCGGTCAAACTGTCCTGTGCTTGGGATCTGACACCACTCTTTAGTCAGCCAGACCTGGGCTCATGCAAGTTACTTTACCTCTGTGTGCCTCAGTTTCCTTGTCTATAGTATAGGAATGATCATATTACCGACAAGTACCTGTGTAGTATAAAAGCACATGTAGGAAAGGTTACCTGTGAGGATTAAATCAGATCATCCTTATGAAGCACTTTGCACAGGGCCATAACTAGTAGATGCTGGTTGTTGATGATGATGGGGATGATGATGACAGAGGAAACATGTTTAAAAATAATTTGGAAGAAGAACTACTTTGGGGATCCACCTTAACACTTTCCTTTGCTGTTTCCTTTGGGAACATGAATTCCCAAGCCGGTTTCTGTGCCTGAAACTTGGACCCAAGTTGTATAGAATGGGCAATCAGATTTGGCCAAGCATACTATAAACCTCACAGCATTAACCACAGTTAGTAGGGGTGGCCAACTCACTTTTAGAGCATTGGTGCATCTGGAGTGGGGGCAGAATTAAAAGCCTTCCTAGTCCATTTAGGAATCTTTTCATGGCAGTTGTCAAGGCAGAAAGGGTATCATGATCTGGATCCTAAACCTTTGCTGGAGACATATCCCCGGGTGCTCTGTACTCCTGAGAAAATCATTTTCCTCTTTGGGAAATAACAACCCACACCCACCTGGTCCCCACAGCTCACAAGACTTTGAGAACAGATGAGTGAGAAGATCTGCTGGGGTTCTGCATGGCTCCCAAGGGCTTTATCTTCATGGAGGCTTTTGTTTATTATCAGAATGAGAACTGTCTTAGTTTCTCTGTGGAAAGTGTTTTGCAGAACAAGACTGAAGAGTTTGTTTCTAATGAAAGTATTAACTATTAAGAGAAGGAAGCTGATCAGGGTACATTGAATCTTGTCCCCATTTCCCAATTTTGGACAGAATTCTCCAAATTAACACCTTGTTTTGGACTCCTTTACTTAGAATAGGGGGGATTCTGCTAGAAGTTGGACTTAGGACTTTTAAAAGAGTTCATTTTCATTTACCATTTTGATTTATGGAATGGAACAGTCCAGAGGAAGCAAATATATGAAGCCACTCACATTGGGTTTATTATTAAGGATGAGAAAGGACAGGGAGAGATAGAAGCTTTGTCAGCTTGGAAGTCTGCTGTGCTTGCTCTACCTACAGCCCATCACATCGATGTTTTTACAAAGGAGTCTTGGATGTGAAAAAGTGCGTACATAGAGAGCAACAGGAAGTATAAAACTAACCCCCACTGTTTGAGAAGCCATGGATCATGTTCATTCAGTCTTTTTAATTAGATGCCTATGAAATTTCAGGTTTAAGATTAGAGTCCCGCTTTTAACATCAGTGTGAGGTTTCCACATAGTTAAGTGTAGGGAAGGGTGGAGCTTATGGCTTGTTTCTTTTTGTTTTGTTTTGTTTTGTAATTCACTTGAGGCAGTGGCTAGAAATTAAAGGGAGAAAAAAAAACCCTCTAAGCTGTTGAGATTTAGTCATTGATATAGTTTTTGGAATAAATTCATATTTTGCTACTCATTGCCTGGCCAGGCAAAGGATCTATTTTGTTTGGATCTGAGTAGTAATTTGGAAAAAAAAAAAAAAAAAAAAAAAACACAGCGTATTGACGGTAATAGCTTGAAACATGAAATTGTTTTTATTCCCCGCTTGGAGAAATTGCAGGGCACGTTTGTTTTAGCAATCCTTTTGACTCCAGTCTGAATACAAATGGAATACCCAAACTGTTGGGCACATTTCCCCTTATCTCCTACCCAGAGACTGATTTCATTACCGTAATTACAGGCCTGCCTGGCTCTTGGCAGCCTCTCCCATCCAGGACCCTTAATAGCCTTGCAGAGGATTGTTGCAGCTCAGTTGTTCTGTCTTCAGGCACAGGAGGTGGAGTTACAGAAGAGAAAAGTCACTGTCTGCGAAGGCTCAGCATTGTCTGGTCATTGCCCAGCTGGGCACTCCTCCACTTGTCCTCCCAAGGTTCCTTGTGGCTCCCAGTTAACCTTTATTCTAGCATATGTTCCATATTTATTTATAAATGTACAAGAGATACCTATAAGAATGAGGCATAGGACAAAGCTAATGGTACCCTTCTAGACATCCTACATCAGAGGAGAAAAGTGTGCTTGGCCTGCCATAGCTTGAGTATAAGCTAAGACTGAAGGCTGCCATCTTGACCATGTGTTTGAACCTCACAACACCATACCATGGACCCAAAGCTGAATGAGAAACTTCCTTTCAATGTCAAAGTGAGCAGAATTCAAATCTTCCCATTCCTAACACAAAAGGAAGTGGCTCTGCATCTCAGGGATGGGCACACCCAGTGCAATTTGGCAGAGCATCTCCGCAACTCTTCTCAAATGTCAGGTTAGGGCAAAACTGGAAATTCATCTGCCCAGTACAGCTTGCGCTGATTACTTGGACAGCATGTTTCTGATTCATTTGCACGTAACTCATCCAGGGGGTGTTGCAAGAGCTACATGATGGCCAAAAGAACCTAATGAGTCTTTTATAATATTTTTAAACAAGTTTCTCTGTGTTGATTGTCTCTTGGAGCCAAAAAGCTGCATTCTTCCAGCCCCACAACAGGCTTCAAAAGTAGGCTCCATCAGTCTCAGCACGAGGAACAACTTGGCTCCAGGATTCTCTGCTCTGACCCTATAGGTCGGTTGAGAAATGTGCAGGCTGCATCTGGAATACTGGAAGGGTAAAAATCATAACCAGGAAATCTAGTCTTGAGGACCTTGCATTCCTGCCTCTGAACATCCTACGGCATAAAGCCCTCACCAGCATCTTTGTCCTCTTTGTTCCTGTGGTTTCATGAGTGGACAGTGCCTCCATCACTTGCTCTTTGAGATGCAGTGTAACAGTTGGTAAGAGCATAGGCTCTGTAGCCAGACTCCCTCATTTCCTGCTTACTAGCTTTATGACCTTAGGCAAGTGACTAAAGTCTCTTGCGTCAGTTTTCCCTGTCTGTTGCCTATTTTGCAACCATTCCAAAACTTAAGAGCATGGATCAATGACCGTTGTATAGCATATGGTCATGTGGGTCAGGAACTTGAGCAGAGTTCAGCTGGGAGAGTTTGTCTCTGTTCCGTGTAGTTATTATCAGAGGTGACCCAATTGGACCTGAAGGATCCGCAATGGCTCCATTCACATGACAGGAGCCTTGGAGCAGTACATTAGTTGAGGTGTCTTGGATCCCCTCCATGTGGTCCTTGTCTTTACATGTTCTCTATGCAGACAGCAGTCTAGGTTCTGGTTCCTTTCAGATAAAAAGAATGAAAATAGAAGCTGCAAGACCTCTTCAGACCTGTCCCATTCTATTGGACAAAGCAAATCATAGGACCATCCCAAACTGAAAGGGAGAGCAAATGACTCCACCCTCTTGATGGGAGGTATAGCACATACCTATGGGATGTGAGGTTATGAGTATTAAATGAATTCCTGGAGGCAGAGTATTTAGAGCAATGTATTGGTAACTCAATAAGTGTTGGGTATCGTGATGATTATTCTTGTATCACTTCAGGAACACATAGCATATATGTGTACCCCTTGAAAGCTCAACAATTTAGTGAGCAGCAAATCAGGGATCCCAGTGAAAAATGGTCTCCTCCCACCATGAAGCCTAGTTGTGGAATCATGTGGGCCATCCCTGGATGTTTTCCATTCTCTAAGCAAACTCAGCTTTCCTTCATGAGGGATACAGCCATTGTTTCCCTTGGCTCTCTCAGACTTTCTTCCAAGGGTCACATAGCTTGGAGGCTGTTGACTCCACCTTGACCCTGGCCTGTTCTGAATTCTTCAGGTCACCATAGAGGTGGTCGACGGTCCTGACTCTGAAGCAGATAAAGATCAGCATCCGGAGAATAAGCCCAGCTGGTCAGTCCCATCCCCCGACTGGCGGGCCTGGTGGCAGAGGTCCTTGTCCTTGGCGAGGGCAAACAGCGGGGACCAGGACTACAAGTACGACAGTACCTCAGACGACAGCAACTTCCTCAACCCCTCCAGGGGGTGGGACCGTCCGGCCCCAGGCCACCGGACTTTTGAAACCAAAGAGCAGCCAGAATATGGTGAGTTTACCACGCAGTAACATAAAATTGGTGGGGAAAATAAATGAGTGGTGAGGCCTCAAGGACACAGAGCCAAGCAAAACCAGTTGACAGTGTGTGGCTTTGGTTTTCTGTGAGGCACACCTCATAAAGGATCTCTTCTGCAGAAGCCCCAAGGAGGCACCAGCAGCCACATTTTCTGGAAAGGTTGTAATTTTTAAATCACACCAATTATCCCAGGAGGGAATTTTTTTTAAGGTTATTGGGTTCTTTCTGCCTTTATCCCCTCCAAATTTTAGTCTTACTTTCTAAAAATGAAGAAATCATCCAATTAATTTCTTGTGTTTTTCATTATAAAATTCACATTGAAAATCAACGTAATAAATAAGATGTGCACAGCTGTTCCCTTTGACAATTGTGTTATGCTTGATATTGGCAGTGGAGTGGTCCTTGGGAATCCAGATGAACATGTGTCATGGGTTGTCCAAGTGAATTCCCTGACACACAATAAATTTCAAGAACCCAAGTAAGGACTTTTAGCTTCTTATGCTTTTAGATTAGGGTAGGTGAGGTAACAAACAATTCCCAAACTCAGTGACTTAAAATAATAAAAGTTCGTGTCTCACTTGCTTTGGGATGAGAGACATGGAAGAGCTCAGCTCCATTTAGTCATGCAGGGATCCAGCCTTCTTCCATACTGGACCTCTACCAACAGTTAGGGCCTGAGAGTTATCCTCTAGATGTTCTGTGTGTCCAGAAAAAAAGTAGGGGAAAAGAGAAGACAGATTTAGTAAGCATCTGGCCAGTTTTAATGGGGACTTGTGCAGTGTGTCATAAGAATATTTGCTATCTTACAAATGCACCCACCAGCCTGACGTTCTTGTGATCTCATAATCAGTAGACTCAAGGAGTGAACAGTACACTTATTTCCTGTGGCCTTAAAGTGTGTCTACTTAGGAGTATACTTAATACTGAAGGTACTCAAAAAGTTCATGGAAAAATGGAATTAAAAATTAAGTTTGTTTTAGTGCAAAAGAATTTAAATCCATGACTAGTTTTTTCATACTATACCTTCCATAAACTTGCTGAAGGCTCTCCCATATGCATGGGTTTCAAAAGTGCTTGCAACAAAATACAAAATAAACTTATCTTTTAAAGACAGTTCTATTAAATTTTTGAATGACCCCTGTATGATGCGAATGGATTGCACTCTCCTATTTACCCTTAGTTTCCCACAGAAAGACCATTGTAGAGTCATGTCTAGATGATTCTAGGCCAATTCCAAAATAAGAGACAGTATTTTCTTCAACCACATAATCAGTTGTTACACCAGTATTTATTAAGAGCATGTCTTGTGTCCAGCACTAAACTAGGTGCTGGGAATCCAAAAACAAGCGAGACATAGTCCTTACCTAAAGAGTATCCTCCCCATATGTGAACAAAGAGGGAATATTAAATGATAAAGGAAAAATAGTGCCATTGTAGAGATATACATCAAATATTAGGGGAGTAGAAAAAGAACTCCATACCCCTTCCAGGAGGCTCACAAAAACTTCACCTTTCCTAGAGGAAGTTCAAGTTACCTATTCTCAAGAAGAAGGACTGGGGAGAACAGCCAACATTTATATAGTACGTGACATGTACAACTTACTCTCCATGACATGACATATAAATTAGCTCATTTACTCAGCTATCTGAGGCAGATACGCAGTTTCACAGATGACAAAGTAATTCCTGGAGAAATTAAGCAGTTTGGCTTAGAAGATCAAAGCCTAGGATTCATCCCAGACAGTAGGTGCAGAGTCTGTCCTGTTAATCATTATAGTATTCGGCCTCTCTGGGAAAAAAATGGCACATCACTGACAAAAGTAGAGTGGCTCTAGAACGAGTGCTTAGATAGGACAACAGGAATGGGAGGAAAAGACCAGTGCTGTTGAACAGGAGAAACACAGAAAATCCCTGGATGCTGATCTGACATTACACAGGGCTCATGTCTTAGCCTGTTTTCCCAACCCACACATTGTTTCTAAGAGTGGGACGCAAACTACGGCATCAGAACCCCTTGGTTACGTGATAAGAAGTGCTAATCCTGGGCCTCAACCCCTTCCCTAAGTACCCATAGTCCTCCAACTGTGACCTCCAAACAGTATCACCTGAGAATGGGATAAAGCAATGCATCCTCAGGCCCAACTGCGGACCTACTGAATCAAACAGTGGGAGGCAGATTCAAAAAGTTCATAGATATTGGTTAAAAGATAAGTTTTTTTGATGTGGAAAATTTTTATATCCATATATAGTTTTTTTCATGACATGTATGTTCTATAGACCTGTTATATGCATGGGTTTCAAAAATCAGCTTACCTTTTAATTCCATGAACTTTCTGGAGTCCCCACATATATATTTGAATAAATCTTCCAGGTGTCTGATGCATCAGGTACCATTGTTTGAGAGCACTGGTTCACACCCTTAGTTGCTCATTCTATTCACTTGAGGAATTTTTTTTAAGTTCTAGTGCTGAGATCTCTCTCCAAATTAAATTGGGACCTTTGAGCAGCAGCAGGGGGTAGTGCGGAATCCAGCTACTCGTGACCTTTAAAGGTCTGTGCGTGGTCCAGTGCACAGCCCAAGCTGAAGGCCATTGCCCTGCATCTACTGAATCAGAAGGCCAGGAATGAGACTTGGAATCTGTTTGCTTTTTTCTTTTTCCAGTAAAGGTCACCAAGTGATTCTCATGCTCACTCCAAAGTTTGAATACCACTGCTAGAAACAACTTCTTCAATCTAAAGATTTATAGAGTACACCTTGCTGAATTCATGAACATTAAGAACATCCTTTCTATTTCAATCATGAGGGCAGAATTTGCTTCTACTGGGGCACTTCCTGTGGCTACCCAGCCACTCTCACCCCAGTTTCCTAGATGTAGGGGACCCAGCCAGCTCCCTGCATCAGGATCCCACAGCACCCCTGGGCCAGGCAGAAACCCCATCTTCTATGACTTCAGATTATCCCTTGGTAACTTTCCAAACATTAGACTGGATTTCAGGATTGCTACTTATAAAGAAAATCCTGTATCTTTTAGTACCTCAAAAGTTATAATTATCAAACTTTAGTGTGCACCAACCAAGCCCCAGAAGTTTTTTTGAAAATGCAACTTCTGATGCAGTAGGTATAAAGAAGGGGCAGGAGCCCAGATAAATCGATAAATCTGGCACTGCTGGCCCTCAGACCATACTCTGAGTAGCAAGACTCTAAGCACATTGTAAGTACCTAACAGTCCTTGCAGAACAAATGAATGATTATTGCTACTCAGGATACCTCACATGGGATGTGTAGTTTCTAGCCTTCCCTACAGCATCAGCCGAGCTGGAAATTCTCCTTTGATTCGAATCAGCAAGAAACTATCAGGCAGTTGCTAAGTATTTGTCCCCATGTTGGGAGATGCGGAGGACACAGGGGAAGCACAAGCACACACTACCAATGATGGGGTCCCTGCATTAGCAAAGCACGGCAAGTCATCGTATCTAAGAGCTTGCAGTACTGTTCAAGACAGGCTGAAGCTGCCACAGGAGCTGGTCTTTGTGGAGAATGCAAATGTCAGATTTCTGATGAATTTAAATGTTTATGGCAGACAGTATTTTTAAAAATCCAAGGTGAAGTAAATAGCATCTAATGGAACCTGTAGAATGAGTTATACAAGATACTCAGAAGACAGACTCGATTTGGGATGATGATAGAAACATACTGTCATGATGCCTTGAGTCCACTCAGCTATGGAAAGGATGTGTAGAGATACTGTGGGTTTTTTTAAAAAAATATTTTACTTTATTCATTTGAAAGGCAGAATTACAGAGAAAGAAGGAGAGACAGAGAGACAGAGCGGGGAGACACACACACACAGAGAGAGAAAGAGATTGATTGATTGATTCCATCCATGGTTTCACTCCTGAAATTGCCACAGTGGCCAGGGCTGAGCCAGGGAAAACCCAGGAGCCAGGAGCTTCAACTGCGTCTCCCAGTCTTCTGTAGCTTCTCCATGCTCTTTAGCAGAAAGCTAGATCAGCAGTAGAGCAGCCAGCACTTGAACTGGCATCAATACTGTGTTTTTGAAAAGTTCTATTTGTGAGAAAGAGAGAGAGAGAGACAGATAGACTTGCCACCCAGTAGCTTACCCCCGAAATACAGCAATGGCCAGTACTGGACCAGGCCAAAGTCAGGGGCTGGAAACTCTATCCAGGTCTCTCACATCAGTGGCGAGGACTCAATTACTTAAGTCATCACTTGCTGCTTCCTAAAGTGTGCAGTAGTAGGAAGCTGGAGCCAGGAATCTAAGACAGGCATTCGAATATGGCATGTGGAGATCCTAACCAGTGTTTTAACTGCTAGGCCAAACACACATCCCTGAAATAGTACAGTTTAAATACCTCCTCTGAAGATTCTTCAGGAATTCAGGACAAAAGAGAGTCCAAACAAAGTTGACCTAACAGTAATAGATCATTTCCCCAAATCACTCAGAACAGCCTGCATAATGAAATAAAGTGGGCACCACTTATTGGTATCTGAGTTAGGACTTGGGTCTTTGAAATCCTCTCTCCGCTCATGGTCCTATGTTGAGAGGATTTCATTGTCATTATTTTTCAGGAGTTTTTCTTTGTGATGTTATATTTTTGTCCAAATAAGCTGTATAAATGAGGTGTATTAGAGAAGCGGAGTAGGAAAACTTGGGCCAGAACCACAGCTGCTGGAGTACCAGGATGTAGAACAAGATGTGCTGGCAGACAGACCTCAGATCTGGTCCCAGCTTGGCTGAATTTGAGTGGTGTGACCACAGGCAAGTACCTTAAACTCTCTGAAGCTCAGTTTCCTTATCCACACAAGGAGAATCTCTCCCTGTACCTTGCAGGGTTATTGTAGAAATTAAAACAGTGGCTTAAAAGACAGAGAAAGTTGTTTAAAGCAGGACTTCAATCATTGGTATCCACGATCTTGTAGGATTAGTGGTACAGGTTTGCCCGTAACCAAGTCAAAGACCCAAATCATTTTAGTTGTCCTGATACTCTAACTGGCTCACAAACTCTGGTGTCCACTAGATGGAAAAATTCTGTTTTAAAATTCCAAATGAGCTGGTGCCGTGGCTCACTAGGCTAATCCTCTGCCTTGAGGCACCGGCACACTGGGTTCTAGTCCCGGTCGGGGCGCCGGATTCTGTCCCGGTTCCCCTCTTCCAGGCCAGCTCTCTGCTGTGGCCCAGGAGGGCAGTGGAGGATGGCCCAAGTGCTTGGGCCCTGCACCCGCATGGGAGACCAGGATAAGTACCTGGTTCCTGCCTTCGGATCAGCGCGATGCGCCAGCCGCAGCGTGCCAGCCGTGGCGACCATTGGAGGGTAAACCAATGGCAAAAAGGAAGACCTTTCTCTCTGTCTCTCTCTCTCTCTCACTGTCCACTCTGCCTGTCAAAAAAAAAAAAAAAATCCAAATGACATCTTTGCAACCCAACTCTCAGCCCATTGCTCTGTGGCTTGAGCTCCTTGATGTCACAGACAGGAGCTGTCACAGCACCATATACAGGTTCCCAGGAACTGTTTTTCTCTGTCCGAGTGTTATCTGTCTTTGTGATTGTCACTGCTTCCTTGCTCCTTTTTTTTTTTTTTTTTTTATCTACATTCAAGATACTCAGGCAGGTGAGCAAAAGGCAATGGGCTTCTTTATTATTGCTCAAAGGACTTCTGCCCTCAAAGCTTTGTCCCAGTCAGAATTTTCTGTCCCCTGAATCCCTTAAACAAACTGAAGTGTTTGAAAGGAGGGTCTCTACCTCTGGGGGCTTCCGGGCGGTTGGCTGACACACACGCTCTCCTTAGGAGGTTGTTCTGTGTCATTGCGAGCATCAGTAGAAAGGATTAGCCACAGGGCTTTTAAGAGTTCTGTGCCTGACTCTGGAGGACCCAGATAAAAAAGGCTGGAAGCAAACTGGCTTTGTGAGCTCTTAAAGGCATGAAGAAAGGCACTTACTGGGATAATAAATCCTTGATGGTCCCAGAGTCTACAGCCCCCAAGAGAGCATATTTTGGGAAGGATATTATGATGTATCTGTAACAGTCAGCTTTTGCTGCTTAAGAAACCACTCCCAAAATGTATTGGCCCAAAAGAACAAAGGGTTCTCTCCAGCAAGTCTGTGGGCTGTCTGGACTGTTCTGGTCTTGGCTGGTTAGACTGGGGCTGAATGGCCTCAAATGGCCTCACTCACAATGCTGGGGCCGCAGCTGGGGGTGCTGAGATACCAGGGGCCACCAAGTCCCCCCAGCCTGCACTCTGATTCTGCTTAATGGGCCAATGAGATGGATTGACTCTGTGTTTGCCTGAGGAGTGTTCAGAGTGAAAGCAATGTAAAAAACAGCCTAGGCTGGCACAAGGCCTGCAGTTCAGGTAGAAACATGTGTGGACGACATTCTTGCTGGGCCTATGTAATAACAATCCCCACGAGCTGTTAGGAACAGTGGGTACCTCTTCCCTGCAAGGCACATGCCTGTAGCTCCACACCTGGCACCAGAAGAGGCCCCAAGGCTATTGGAAGGTTTGAGTTATCCAAGAGAAATGATGGCAAAGTGAATGGAGTTGCTGCAGAGGGAGCTGCAGAGAGCTAGAGGCCAGGCTTTCCTTTCTGTTGATGAGTTGACCTTGGACAAGTCATCTAGTCCCTCCAGGACCTTACTTCTGATAAGAGGAAGTCAGTCTTAACAATGTACCAGCCTCTCCTGCACCCTTCACACTCCCAGCTGCTGCCATCCAGCCTAATCTACTTTTCCTTTTCCCACATCATCATTTTTCAACTTCTGACATACTATATGAATTACTCATCTTTATACGTATTGATTATTGCCTCTCACAAGGACAGGGATCTTTGAAAGTTTTACTCAGTAATATATCACATATCTAGAATTGCACCTGGCATATAATGAGGGCTCATTTCTGTTTGGATGGTTGTTGAGCACTGACCTCAAGGGACATTTCTAGTTTTATCATTAACGTATCAGTCATCTGTAAGTACTGCTTCATAACAAACCATCCCAAACATGGCGGCTTCAAACAGCAACAGCTTATTATTTCTCATGATTCCGTGGCTTGGGAGTTTGAGCAGGGCCACTGGGCATCTCCTCCACTCCTGAGGCTTCAGCTACATTCAGCTGTCCACTGGGAAGGGCTGGGAGGCTCAAAAAGGCTTTGCTTACATGTCCAGTGTCCTCGGGTCTTTTGTCTCAAAATTTATAGATTTAGCCTGAATTTCTTTCACAGTGGCTCAATTCTCTAGAGCAAAAAACAGAAGCTGCAGGCCTTAGGGCCAAAGCAGGCCCAGATTCTAGAGAGGAGGGAATAGATTAGCTCCACTACCACCTGTGTCTATGTGTTGTGTGTGTGTGTGTGTCACAGTAGATGAGTACACAGAGGAGGAAGGAACTGATGGTAGTTATCTTTGGAAACTGCTTGGCATTATTATTCCATGAGCCCATGCTTTGCAGATGGATGCATGCCCAATCAACATTTCCTGGGCATCTACCAGGGGTCAGGTCCTGGCCACGTGCTGCTGACCACAGTGCCCCAAACCTCCCTGCCGTCACAAAGCTGAGCCCTAAATGGACTCTGGAGTGGTAGGTCTCTCAGCTCCAGTTGGCATCTGGACCCCTTCAACAGTGGGAGCAGTACAGTAGACAGCTGCTTGCCAAGGGATGTCTGGGGACTCTTTGGTGACATTGATGACCATCTTCCTGGCTCCCTTCCAGATTCCACAGACGGTGAGGGTGACTGGAGTCTCTGGTCTGTCTGCAGTGTCACGTGCGGGAATGGCAACCAGAAACGGACCCGATCTTGTGGCTATGCATGCACCGCCACGGAATCTAGGACCTGTGACCGTCCCAACTGCCCAGGTGAGTAGATGCTGTGGCGCCAAGTTCAAGGGAATTTAAAATCTTACAGCAATTATCTTTTTAAAGATGATCATCGCCCTAAGATTTCTGACCAGAGTAAGACCAGAGATAATTAATTAATAAGCTGAATGGATGAAAAGATGGCTTTTCTAAGTCTAATGCACAGTTGCAGCAACCGTGACCTTAAGGACAATGCTACATTGTACTTATTTAATTTAAAAGAGGGACTCTAGTTTGTGTGGGCCTTTGATGTGGGATATTTTTTGTGTGCATGGTCTGATAAGGAAGCCAGGACAGAGGTATAATAGCCATCTGCAGAAAAACCACACAGTTGGTCCTGTTGGTGACATCTGAAAGCTGTGGAAGATTCCAGAGACAGCAAACTGGGGCAGCTTAGCAATTATTTATCATACTGTGTGGCCAGTGCTTAAAAACTAAAACTAATTGCAAAGTTGGTGGGAGATCATTTGGGAAATGAACAATAACTGTGACCCACTAGAGCAGTGGTTCTCACACTGCGGTCGGTGGGCTAAGAGCAGCCTATGACCTGGCCTTGTATGATTCATATGCTCTTGAAGGATTGTGAAGAGTAAGAGGGGAAGGAGGGACACAGGAAGGAGGATGAGGTGGAGGAGGAAGGGGAGGAGGAGGAAGGAAGAAGATAAAGGAGTGACCAAAGACTATATATGACCCCCCAAAACACGTATTCTATGACCCTGTGACAAAGAAACCTTACCAACTCCTGATTTATAGTTTTACTGTGCAGCCCCCACTGCCAGGTAGAACACCAGCCTAAAATAATATCTCAGGCCCTTGAAAGAAACCACACATTCCAGATGGCTTCATCTGAAAGAAATATAAAAGACCAAAAAAAAAAAATCTTATCCCCATACTCCAAACTTCCTTTTTCTCCTTCTAGACACTCTGTTTGCAAACCAGAAATACTTGGAACAAAAAAAGAAGTGGAAAGAGAGAGAGGAAGGGTCAGAGATAGAGGAAGGATTGGGTTGGTATTAATGTGTCTGTTAACAAATGAGCGTGTGTAAAAATGGGGCTGAAATGTAGAGTGCGGTGGTTCTGGCTCCACGTCAGCCGTGTGGATGGAATTCAAAGAAACGGATCAGCCATCAAGATGCTTCCTGTTATCTTTTTCCGTGCTTGTCATAGTCAGCTAAGTTGGAAGTATGATGGGTGCAATTTGAATGAGCAGAAATGAACCAATTAATAATGAGAGTAAGAGGAGGGAGGAGAAGATAGGGAGAAAATGAAGGAAGAGAATGAGACTATGAAGAGGAAGATGAAGACAATGATGAAGATAGGAACATGAAGCAAAAGAAAATGGAGATAAAGATGAAAAAATGACCAAGATTCTTGAAGTATTCATGTTTCAAGCAAATTCCTAAGATTTGTATGTATATCATATCATCACATCATTCAGTCCTCACAATAGCCTCATGAAATGGGCTGACAATTATTATTATACCCATTTAACATACGTGGAAACTGAGGCACAAGGCCAGCAGCCAGTGACCAATATGGAATTTGAATCCAGGCAGACTGAATCCAGAGTTCATGTTCTTTTTTTTTTTTTTAAAGATTTATTTTATTTATTTGAAAGACAGAATTACAGAGAGGTAGAGACAGAGAGAGGTCTTCCATCCGATGGTTCACTCCCCAGATGGCCACAATGGCCGGAGCAGCACCAATCTGAAGCCAGGAGTCAGGAACCTCCTCCTGGTCCCCTACGCAGGTGCAGGGGCCCAAGGACTTGGGCCATCTTCTACTGCTATCCCAGGCCATAGCAGAGAGCTGGATCAGAAGTGGAGCAGCCAGGACTAGAACTGGCGCCCATATGGGACGCTGGCGCCTCAGGCCAGGGCTTTAACCCGCTATGCCACAGCACCGGCCCCAGAGTTCATGTTCTCAAATTCTTCTGCCTCCACTGGGAATACGGGTGTGCGGCTTGACCACACATGGATACAGACAGCATATAATGTCAGGGTTTAGGGGCTTTCCAGCTGTGTTCTCTTCAAGAGCTGGCATCTAGATACAAAGGGGCAGATGTGGGTATCTTGTCAGGGGAAGGCTGATCCCTGCTGGCTTTGTAAATATTCCCTCCTTATTTCCTATCGCTGCTGAGAGCAATGTGGCCAGCATCCCTGTTCATACGTTCTCCTCTCATCTGCCCTTAACTTCCTTCCATCTGTTCTACAGCTTCTGGCTTTTCTAGCTTTTCAGTCTCTATCGGAATATGAGGTCTTTCTTTTTTTGAGGAATCTCTTTGCTTATTTGGTTTGCTAATTCTCGGCCTTCTGAAGGGAACCACAGAGCAGACAAGGTCTCCCTGGCCTGGCAGTGTTACACTGTGAAAGCTTATCTCCTGCGTATCTCCACCAATAAGCCTGAGGGGGCCTCACAGAAACATCGGGAAGGTCAAGACATGTCCAGCAGGGAAGCCAACAAATGCTCCGGGTCTCCATCCCTCCCGCTTCTTACTGCTTTAGCTTGCACTGAATTCCTGTTGGCAAAGGAAGCCTGCTTGGGGCTAGTAGTTTGGGAGTTGGTGGCAGCAGCAAGAAGTATAAAGAAAGCTGGGCTCAATTCCTTAGAGCAGGTAAGGAGAATCCCAGTTTATTCTCTCAGAAGCACCATAAACTGCACTAAAAGTCCTGGAATATCAGATATCTGGTCTTTGGCATCTTCAAAATGAGCTACACAGATACTGAAGAGAAAAGCACTGGCTAACATTGACCAGCTACTGCTCTAAGATCTTTCTTTACATATAACTCATTTAATTCTTTCAACCCACTGATGTGGAGCATTTAGTTCTCTCTCATTTTGCAGATGTGAAGACTGAGGCACAGAGCAGTTGACTGCCTTGCATCACCTGGCTAATAATGATGCGAACCAGGCAGGCAATCCCTAGAGGCATGGTGTTAACCACAACACTCTACTGCCTGTAGTTCAGTTTGTCACCCTGATGCCACCAGACAGCCATTCTGATTGTGTGCCCTGCCTCCCCTACCCCAGTGCATAAAACTCCATCCCTGGCCCATGGGGGTGAGATCCTTAGGAGACATTTGGGCACATTTGGATCTGATTTCATGCTGCAAATGGTATCTGGGGTTTTAATATATTTTACATGCTGCTACCTGCTTTTTACTGCTTCCCCTGTTGGCGAGTTACTGCCCATGAGTAGCGATGGATACAAAAAAGGCTTTGTTCAGGTGTATTTGTTTTTTTATTTGGGGAGAGGGGTAACTTTTTCCATATAGCTGGGGAAAAATGAGCTCTTGTCTGTGTTTAGGAATTGAAGACACTTTCAAGACAGCTGCCACTGAAGTGAGTCTTCTTGCGGGAAGCGAGGAGTTTAATGCCACCAAACTGTTTGAAGTTGGTAAGATTTTTTTATATATACAAATATTGATTTAGTGCTTTGGAGATTCCTTTGCAATGCCATCCTTGGATCCATGAGGTATTTCATTTTCCTCTTCTGAGGCCCAATTCTCCCAGTGTATTTCTTGCTCACTGAATATACTCCAAGCAAGAGAAAGCAGTCCTGTACCTCTTGCACAAACTGAGCCATGTGGCATGTCTGTGAGCACCCTGCTTGCCACATAGCCTCCCCTGCAAGGGGGCAAGTAGGACTACTGTCTTCCCTTAGTAGAGAATCCATCCATAGGAGGGGCCCAAGCTCCCTAGAATCTGTTCTCACTCAGCCTACACCAAGTGTCCTCACTAAAATAAGTTCTCTGGGTAGGCATTGTGGTGCAGCGGATTAAGTTGGCCCTTGGGACACCTGCATGTTCTATTGGAGTGCCACTTCAAGTCCCAGCCACTCTGCTTCTGATTCAGCTCCCTGCTAATGCTCCTGGGAACCAGCAGATGATGGCTCAAGTATTTGGGTCCCTGCCATTCATGTGGGAGACTCAGTTGGAGTTTCTGGCTCCTGGGTTTGGCTTGGCGCAGCCCAAGCTGATGCAGCCATTTAGGGAGTAAACCCAGCAGATGAAAGATCTCTCTTGTGCACACTCCCTCTCTCCCTCCTTCTCTCTCCCTCTTCCTCCTCCCTGTGTGTGTGTGTGTGTGTGTGTGTGTCCCTCTGTCTGCCAGGCTACCTTTCAAAGCAATCAATTAAAGCAAAACTTAAAAAATAAAATCAGTTCTCTAATAGAGGGAAGAAAGGAAGGAAAAAGATAATTTTCTCAATATTCTACATCTCCTTCCCCTCAAGAATTTTCCATAAACCTTTGATATGCTCTGCTACTTGACTGCTAGAAAAATACAAATCCAGAAGAAAACAGCATAGTAAACACAGATCAGACAAAAACAAAAAATGACTACCCAGATGCAAGCTTGCTTTTTAAAAACAGCTTCATGTACTTCTGAATTTAATTCTATATTGTCAAAGGGTAGGATTCCTTCTTTTTTTTTTTTTTTTTATTTGACAGGTAGAGTTATAGACAGTGAGAGAGAGACAGAGAGGGGCCAGTGCTGCAGCTCAGAGGGTTAAAGCCCTGGCCTGAAGCACCAGCATCCCGTATGGGTGCTGGTTCTAGTCCTGGCTGCTCCTCTTCCGATCCAGCTCTCTGCTATGGCCTGGGACAGCAGTAGAAGATGGCCCAAGTCCTTGGGCCCCTGTATCAGTGTGGGAAACCAGGAAGAAGACTCCTGGCTTTGGATCGGTGCAGCTCTGGCTGTTGTGGCTATCTGGGGAGTGAACCAGCGGATGGAAGACCTCTCTCTCTGTCTCTACCTCTCTGTGACTTTGTCTTTCAAATAAAATAAATCTTTAAAAAAATATAGAGAGAGAGGCAGAGAGAAAAGTCTTCCTTCCATTGGTTCACTCCCCAAATGGCTGCTAGCCCATGAGGGTACAGGGGCTCAAGCACTTGGGCCATCCTCCACTGCCCTCCCAGGCCACAGCAGAGAGCTGGACTGGAAGAGGAGCAATCGGGACTAGAACCTGGTGCCCATATGGGATGCTATCACCGTAGGTGGAGGATTAACCAAGTGAGCCATGGCACCGGCCCGTAGGATTCCTTCTTGCACCATTTCTTTCTGCCACCTAAAAATCCTTTCTTAGACACTCCACTTCTGCCCTGTCTCCTTAGCCAAAGTCTGAGAGTCCTAAGTCCTTTTTCTTCCCCAAGTCCATTGGGAACTAACTGTGAACAGATATATTCCTCAACTGACTACAGGGGTCAGGCAAGAATCTAAGTAGAACAACCTGGAATAAAAGGAAATACTAATAGGAAAGAATGGAAAAAAAAAAAAAAAAACTGGGCCAGCACCATAATGAACAGAAACTGAGAAGTGTCTAGAAGTGAAGATGCCTGCATCCCGTATCAGAGGACCTGGGTCCATTCCCAGCTCCTGCCCCTGACTTCAGCTTCATGCTAATGCAGACTCAAGAAGGCAGAGGTGATGGCTCAAGTAATTGGATTTCTGTCACTCATATGGGACACCAGGTGGCATTCTTGGCTCCTGGCTCCTGGCATTGGCCTTGACCCAGCTCCAGCCATTGTGGGCATCTGGAGAGTGAGCCAGCAGATGAGAGTTTCTCTCTCACTTTCATAAATAAAAAGAAAGAAACTGAAACAGCTATAGTACTGGGGGGCAGTAGACAGCAGTAGAGACTGTGACAAAATGAACTCATGCTTCTTCCAAAGGGGTTCAGCCATGACTTTCCCACTGTGGATGAAAATCAAGAATGGATTGTACCAAACCCTACCATGGGGGTTGTAATAATGGGGATCTCCTATTACTTCTTGGCCTGAAAGGACCAGGGAAAGGAGTAGTGACCAGAGCCCAAAGAGTGACTCTTGAAGGGCCCAGCTAACCTGCAACAGTGAGGGAGGAGACAGAGAAATAAATATTCTGACCTCACTTTCCTCCATCTGTCTGGCCTATGGCTTGTGTCTCATTAGTTCAACCCAACTAGAACTCAAAGAACCTGCTGATACAATCCACATAGCTCAACCTTCTAGGGCAAGAAGAGGCATATAGTGAGGATATAGAAAGGCTAACTGAAGATGGGAAAGGCTTTGTATAAGATCAAGTTATTTAACCTAAGATTGCCTCAGTTTTCTGATCTGTAACATGGTATGAAGTAAGAGTGTGCCTACCTCACAGAGGTATTGTAGAATTCAATGAGTTATTAAATGGAAAGCATTTAGAACATGCCTACCACACTGAACACTATGTATTTTTGATAAATAAAAAGATAAAAATAAGTTAATGGTTGCCCTGTTGGTACATGAATATACTGACTGCTCACCCTGGGTGGGGGGAGGGGGTCGGGGAATGCAGCTCACTGAATTTTTTTTTCTGAAAACTTTGCCATCCGAAGGAGATTACACAGGCTCTGTGGGCATGTCCTTGGATGGGATTTTCATCTCTTGGTGACTCTCAGTCAGGACGCTGTGGTTGTGAACTCGTAGAACTTAGGACTAAAAGGATTCACAGCATGTCCCAGCTGATGGCACCCTGGACACTTTTCTGTGCATTTTCCACCCTTCCCACCCACTTTATCTTCATCACAGCTTCATGAGAGACATGTCCAATTTAGAGATGAGAAACCTAAAACACACAGGTATTTGACACACAAGGCATTTTAGCACAGGGTCACATTGGGCTTCCATCCCAGGCAGCTTTGCGTGAGAAGCCACACTCTCAACTTTGCACCAGGGCTCTCTTGGCTCATGAGAGACAGCCCCTCTCTCTGCTCCTCTTTTCACTGACAAGAGCCCTGAGCCTGCCTCCACACTGCCCTTCATCCTGGCTGTTTGATTTGCACCTTTGACCTCCCAAGCACTGATGACTTTCTCTCTTTATTCCAAGCCCATCAGCCATCAAGGCTGGCAGCTCTGAAACTCCTGATTGTCTGGATCCCACCTACTTTTCCCTCACATTTCATATCAGTGCTTGGATTCATTTTCTTACTGTATAATTCAGCCACTAGCTCACTATCACTCACAAACTCTCAGTGGCTCCCTGGTACCCTCTGAACAAACCTACATTGAACAAGACCTTCATGATCTGACACCAGCCATCTTATTTTCCTATACCTTCTGCTCCACTGAAAAGGAACATATCCCTCGCCCAGACATCACCACTCTATATTTTTCTGCCCAACCTTACTTTGCACAATTAGTACTTGTCTGGGGTTCCCTCCCTCAACCTTCCCCCATCTCTGCTATTGCAATCTGTAGCAGTTAGGGTACTCTGAATACTAGATATCAAAATGGAATCTGGTATGCCAGAGATTTATTGAAGAAACACCTGGGGAGGACAAAGAGGAAGGCAGAAAGACCAAGCAGGGAGAGCTCTCAGACTGACTCCCACAAAGGGAGAGAGGAAGGGAATGGGGACTGGAAAGGAAGAGCTTCAGGTACCACTGAGAAAGTCTCAGCCATGCCAACCAGGGACCCAAGACAAGGTGGCTTATTATAGAGGAGTCCCTCCTCGGGCAGTGCCCCACCATGAACAGCCATTGATTTCCTTCAGTGGCTGAAGGACACTACTGGTAGAGAACTACCCAGATCCCTATCAGATAAAAAGTGTGGACTTAGTAAGGAGGGGCCATATTTTCAGGATTACTGAAAACAAGAGGAGATATTATTCCCCTATTATTGCAGTAAGGAGAAGGCTGTGACCATAGGTATTCAAGCTTGTCAGGGGTTAGACACAGAGGGTTTCCTTCTAATGAGGAGTAAATAGAGCTAGAAAAACAGCCACCAGTGAAGTGGGATGAAAGGGTGTTGAGATTGGAAAATAGATCAGAGGATGTTTTACCCTGAGGCCAACCTGTTTTCCAGAAGGTATCCCTAAAGAGAGGCTGTGTGCTGGCCTGGCTGGGGAAGAGCCAGAGTACAGGGCTTGAGGGAGGTAGAGAACTTTAATCCAAGCTTGGCTGAGATGCATTTCTTTCTGACTAACCAGTAGTGACAAGGAATTCAACTAATCACTTATGAGGCAAAGAAAGGGAATTTGGAAGGTCTGTACCTGACTTTGTCACAGGTAACAGGGGGGCTGTCTGTGAGTCTTAACTAAGTCCTATGAGGAAAAGAAGTTCTTTGCAGAAAGCCCTTGTCCAGAATGCAAAGTGGGCAGAGGCTTCTTCATCTTGACTCCGTTCTATGTTCACAGTCTTGGGATTGGGTAAGGTTTGACTTCATCATTGGATGGGAAAATGCTGAGTCATAGTCTCTGCACACTCTTCCTGGTCCCAGTGGGATCCAACACCACCAGTTCCTTGCAGTGGTTACCTGTTTGATCCACACCCTATATGGGCTGCCCTCCTTTCCCCATCCGCTCGTCCACTCCCCTGCTCTGTCCTGGAATCACCTCCCTAAGAACCATTTTCTCTGGACTCTTTGGCTCCATCTAGGAGAACCCAAACTAAGAAAGTCACTAAATCAGAGGTCCCAGACTTGGATGACTTAGGGACCAAGAACATGCCCATGAGTGAAGGAGTTGGCATAGTCTGTGCAGAATTAGACCTCCTGCTCTGTCCAAAAAGGGTCACCATTCACCTGTTTATGGGAGCAGTTGTTCTTCTGGGGCAATGCAGAACCAGCCTGGATACATCTTTGGATTTTTCAAATGAAACCAGGAATACACATTTATAATTGCTGTCACCCAAGTCTTAAATATTAATGACTAATCAATATTTTTAATACTACAAGAGCCAAATACAACACCTCTGGAGGTGGGTTCTGACCCAAGGCTACAGGTTACTGGCCTCTGGCCTAAATATTAAGCTCCCTAAAAGTGAATGACACCGACTCCCTCCTCTCTCGCACATTTTATCATAGAAATTTGCATATGAAGTATCTTCAAAAAGTTTTTGTAAAATGCATATTATTGAAAACCATCGATTTCAAAGAAAGTCACCAAATTAAACATGTGTTTTAATTCCATTTTCTTGCAAACATTTTGAAGTACCCTCAAACAGTGATTGCTACGTGCTTAGAGTTACAATGTTGGGGGACTAGCCCCTTTTAAGCCAGTCAATGAGTGGCAAAAATAAACCTTAGTCCTCAAATATTCCTTTGAGGCGTTTTCCGTCACATCACCACTTATGTAGAGAAGGGAGTGAAAGCAGTCCTCAGAAGTACTCTTAACTTTGTGAGAGTTGATATTGTGGTTGTCATTACCTAGGAAATATCTGTGTGTGTGTGTGTGTGTGTGTGTTGTAGGTGCCTGAAAGATGTAGGGATAATATTATATATTTTCTCAAAATAAAAAAGAAGCAACTATAGTGATAATTAAATCAAGGTGATGGAGTGTGAGTAATCATTATGTATACGTTCTCTTTCCCATATGTCTGAGAATTTTTTGTAATATGAGGGTACTTCCAAAAATGAAATTAAAAGATATATTTATTTTGGTACAAAAAATTTGAAATTCGCGCATAGTTTTTTTCATAATATACATTTTCCATGAACTTTTTGAAGACCCCTTTATATGAAGACTTCAAAAACTTGCACCAAAATAAACATCTTTTTCTTTTAATTCCATTTTCCACAAACCTTTTGAAGTATACCTTTGTGTTAACCGAGGCAGAACAGTCTTATAAACAAAGCAATTCTTAAAACTCCAGGGAGGTGAGAATGGCCATCCATGCCTCGTGGCTCTGGGTGCCCACAGGGTCCCTGCCTCTAGGGGGGAGCTGTTGACTTCACTGTCATCCTGCAAGCCTGGCTTTGCATTGGTAAAAGATTCTCTCTGTGACCTTTCTCAGACACAGACAGTTGTGAGCGATGGATGAGCTGCAAAAGCGAGTTCTTAAAGAAATACATGCACAAGGTGATCAATGACCTGCCCAGCTGCCCCTGCTCCTACCCCACGGAGGTGGCCTACAGCACGGCCGACATCTTCGACCACATCAAGCGCAAGGACTTCCGCTGGAAGGACGCCAGCGGGCCCAAGGAGAAGCTGGAGATCTACAAGCCCACGGCCCGGTACTGCATCCGCTCCATGCTGTCCCTCGAAAGCACCACGCTGGCTGCCCAGCACTGTTGCTATGGTGACAACATGCAGCTCATCACCCGGGGCAAAGGGGCCGGCACGCCCAACCTCATAAGCACAGAGTTCTCCGCTGAACTCCACTACAAAGTGGACGTCCTGCCCTGGATCATCTGCAAGGGCGACTGGAGCAGGTACAACGAGGCGCGGCCGCCCAACAACGGGCAGAAGTGCGCAGAGAGCCCCTCGGACGAGGACTACATCAAACAGTTCCAAGAGGCCAGGGAGTATTAACGAGACGGGGCAGAGGCGGAGAGATGCTGCCTTTGGTTTTGTGACGAACGCTCTGCACTGATCCGCCGGCTGGCACCCGGTCCTTCCTATCCGCCTGTGTGTATATCTGTATATACTACACGAGTATTTTTTATAAATCACTCTAGGGGTGCGCGCCGGCCTTGAAGCCATCCTTGCCATGTACAGTGCCTACAGACCTCCTCGAAGTCTTACCCCTCCCAGGGGCATGTGGGCAGGAAGATGGGAGGACAAAGAGGCCTGAGGAAGAAACCGGGAAGCACAGTGGGTGTGATTCAGGTCACACTCCAGGATCCGGTGTTTCCCAGAGAAGGGAAGGGAGAGAGAGACCAAGTTGGAAACGTTATGAGCAGTCTTTCTATATAACTTATTTAACACGAATGATGTGACTTAAGCTTAACCTTTTCTCTGGAGTTGTCCTTGGGAAACTCATCACTTCTGTGAGAGTTTGAAAAGAAAGGGGCTTAGGGAAGTGGGAGAGAAAGGGAAATTTGCAATGATTTCTTTAAAAATTAATAACACAACAAGAAAACACCCACCTTAAACCAAAATTTTTTAGTCCTAAGGCACCTTGCTGGAGTTGCAGATGCCAAAAGTCCCTTGCCTCAGTTTGGGTAGCAGTTGGGGGCGGGGGTTGTGGATATTTTTAATAGCAAACCTGAGGCCTGGTTTTAAATAGTCTTTAAAATAAAAGGCCAATATTAACCTAATTCTCTGATTTCACTAAAATGCCTCCAAAGAGTAAAATTTCTGCTTAGTAGGTTCAGAAGACAGCAGGAAGTTCAGACATAAAAACAAGGAGTAGCACTTTTCCAAAGGAAAAAGAAAAGGAAAAAAAAAAAAGAGAAATGAGACAAGAATATGGACTTCATTTCACTTATTTTAATACCATCTTAATTTTTTCTCCACCAATTTATTCCCAGTAAATAAATATAAAAGGGGTGGAAGGGCTGAAGTCTGGGAAACCCTAATTTTTATATATATATTTTAAGAAAGGGGAAAAAATTTCATTATTTTTGTAAAGTATTTATTGAGTCATTGGGTCTTGTGCATCAAGCAATTGTAAGATGACCTGGTTCTGAAAGGCAGAATTTAGGAGAATAAAGAGTTGGTTTTCTTGCAAACTCACTTGCAAAACTCCAGGAAAAGAGAAATATATATAAATATATATATAATAAAATCATCATAAAACGTGTTCTTGCATCCTTGATTAATCAGCTTCATGGATTAACACAATGTTGTGCATAGCATCTTTAGTACCAAGAGCATTTACCTGACTAAGAGGTTGAAGCTCATCAACACACACGTGATTTTTGCCTACTCAGAACTAAGAGAGCCAAACCCAGAGCAAAGGCTTAAGACAGCCCAACTGAGCAAGGCCACTTCTAGACAAAATTCCACAGTTGTAGAAATAAGTAGAACTACTCAACACACAGTTGATTTCTTTTCCAGATGAGAAAACCAAAGCTCAGGAAATGTAAACCACATTGGACGCACCTTGCATTTCTTAGCCCAGTGCTCTTTCTATTATAATCCATTTTGGGTGTCCTTACATTTTTGGTGTCTGATATTCCTGACTCTACTCTTAAGTTCTCATGATAAAATCCTGTTCTTATGTAAAAGCTCTTATTGTTTACATTGTAGAATGAATTATTTATACTCTGGATTGTGCTGGTCATCAGGAATTCACATTAAGGTCTATCTCTAATAATGGAACCGTTATTCTCATTAACTGAACTAGCAGAGAGATATTCAGTGGGTCTATATACCATGAAAGCAGATCGATTTTTAAAAACAGTTAAACTAATCTTTCTTTTTTACACAGTTGTTTATTTTCATCTACTTGAGAGAGAGAAAGAGACTGTTTTATCTGCTGGTTCACTCCCCAAATGCCTGTGACAGCCAGGACTGGGCCACCCCAAAGCCAAGGGCCTAGAACTCAGTCTGGGTATCCCACTTAAGAGGTAGGGGCTCAAGCATTTGAGCCATCTTCTGCTGCCTCTCACGATGCACTAGCAGGAAGCTAGATTGCAAACAGAGTAACTGAGACTCAAACTGCCACTCCAATATGGAACACAGATGTCCCAAGCAGCGGTTTAATTCACCGCAGCACAACACCCACCCCAAGAAATCTATTTCTCCACAGAGTTGGCTGCCAGTGGAATGCATAGTCTTCCCTAGTAGGACAAGTATTCCAGGAGAGGCTAGAGATAATGCAAATAGGACATGCAATTGAGTGATAAGGAGAGACAAAAATGTACTTCAATGAGGCCCTCTCGTAAGTTCAAAATACATTGGGAAAATAGTAGCAGAAATTAGGGAAGTATCTGTTTTTCTTTTCTTTTCTTTTTGACAGATAGAGTTAGTGAGAGAGAAACAGAGAGAAAGGTCTTCCTTCCATTGGTTCACTCCCCAAATGGCCACCACAGCTGTCACTGCACCAATCCGAAGCCGGGAGCCAGGTGCTTCTTCCTGGTCTCCCATGCGGGTGTGGGGGCCCAAGCACTTGGGCCATCCTCCATTGCCTTCCAGGGCCACAGCAGAGAGCTGGACTGGAAGAAGAGCAACCGGGAGTAGAACCCGGGGTGCCGGCGCTGCAGGCGGAGGATTAACCAAGTGAGCCACGGCACCGGCCCAGTATCTGTTGTTCTAATGGAGGAGTGGTATGTTATAAAAGCAGAAAAGATGGGGGAAAAGTTAATGCATTCAGAGTAAGAAAATACTATAGACAAAGACACAAAACTACTCTTCTGAAAACTTGGATGTGTAGAGTAATGAGCAGCAAGGTAAGAGTGGTGAGTTACGGAACCATATCTAAGGTAGTGTTTTGTTAAAGATTTAGTGCGGAATCTCATGGAGAACTGAGCTCCTGTGTACCACATTGAGAGTGCCTGATAAAACTAATGTTTTCTACAGGCTATGGGCCTTTTGATGTCAGATTTTGCTGTCTTAATGAGCTTATAGGTGGAAGGAAGAGTTAACTGGGGGCATAGGAGAACTCCTTGTTTCTGCCCAGCGAGAATATACCTGGTCTCCCATAAACGTCGGCATGGTCCCACACCACTGGAAATTGGCGGAACCATGATCTGCCTCTATCAAGATAAACTCATTTTCAGTACCAAAGTCCCAGGAGCCAATAAGCCATCCTCAGAAATCAAATCTTCATCACCCAAGGTATCCAATAAGACAAAGAAACCCTCATCTCATTCAACTCAGGACCCTGTGTTGGCCCCAGGCAATACCAGGTAATTCCCTCAGTGGATGGTGGATCAATTGCTAAGGGGCAGACTTTGCTCTCAGCAGCACAAGATGTATACAGTTTCACTTGCAGCATCCGTAAATGTGACCCTGGAGAGCTACTCACATGTCTCTCTTCAAATGTTTTGTTCCTTTGCCTCTCTGCAAAGTGCTCTTTTTCTAATAATCCACGGGGCCTCTTGAGGGCCCCATCTGAACACATCAACTATGGCAGAGATGGCCAAGGCCCTCTAGTGGCTACACATGGGAAGTGAGAGGAAGAGGCCAGGAAGTATATAACTTTCTCCCCTACACAATTCTAGCATCTACCATGATTATAGTCTCCCAAGCATTTCCATCTTTGTATCTAAAAGGGTACAATTCCCCATCCTAAATCTAAAGATCAAAGAATCAGTACCGTACTAGAAACCATTTTCTGAGCACATACTTTGTGCCTCTGTGCTAATCACTATACCATGGAAGGCCAGCATTATTATATCAATTTTACAGATGCAGAATAGAAACTAAGAAAGGTTAGTTAACTTACCTAGCATCATTCCACTTGGTAAAGAGCAGGGTTAGTAGAAACCAGTTCTTACTCTGATCACCAAGTTCTGGACTCCACACCTCTCCTAACTCTTCCTAAAATCCCTCAGTTCAGAGACTCACTCTGCCTTTGTTCAAGTTGTACAAAGAGCACCTGCCTTTTCCTATAAATGCTGGTCCTTGTTGAGATTAGTGTGGGCCACAGAGTTCAACATTTCTAGGAGATAATCCGCTCTGTGCATGATCGAGACTGTGCAAACCAAACATGTTCCTTTTGGAAAGTAATCAGCTGATAAGTAAATAAGTATATAATCTGAGATAAAGTAAGAGATAGAAAGCCAATTTTTTAAATTGAAAGGAACAGTGAAAGAAAAAGAGTCAGTAAGATCTTCTATCTAATGGTTCACTCCCCAAATGCCTGCAACAGCCAGGCCAAAGCCAGGACCCAAGAACTCATCCAAGTTTCCCATATGGGTGGCAGGACCCAAGTACTTGAGCCCCCATCTGCTTCCTCCCTGGGTGTGCATTATCGAGAAGCCGAATCAGAAGTGGAGGCAGTACTCAAACTTAGGTACTCTGATATAGGATATGGATATCCAACCTGTGAGTTAACCTGCTTAGGACACAACTCAGTGCCCTGAGCCAAATAAAAATTTTTGATCACAAATGTATGTTATTGAATTATTTAAGTTAATTCTAGTTGCTGTAATATACAACAAGTCTAATGAGTACTTTTCTGGTTAAGTGGCCCACCTCTAAGTGATGACCCAGAGACCAGGTTCCTCCTATGTTGTAGTTCTGCTATCATCAAGGTGTGACCCGGCACATGGCCCTGGAGAACATCTCTATTCCTGCTTGCTCAAAGGGTAAAGAGTGGGGAGAAGATGTGTGAAGATTTGTATAAGCCAGGTAGCAAAGTGCTGTTCATCACATCTGCTCTCTCCACAGCTTGCTATACACCATACCCTTCTATAAGGGAGAGCGGGGAACAGAATCCTGTTGGGGGCTGAGAAAGCAGAGCTTTCTGTGTGAGAACCAAGACAGTTTCTGCCACAGAGGTAGACCACCCATCATCTGATTACACAGGCAGAAAGAAAGACAGCCAAAAGCGTGCCCAAAGTAGTGAGCTCAAAGTAGCCAACATAAGAAGGCTTTCTTACCCCTCTATCATCTTCCACAGTGTGTTAATAGTGCTAGCTGGACCTGTTTCCTTATCTATAAATTGGGATAAAACTGCCTATTTTACCTACTTGGTGGCAGATGCTTTTAGACAGCCCCTTGGTACTTTCCATATTGGTTCAGACCAGCCCAACTTTGTACTGGCAGATCCTGCAAGTCTTTGCCTGATGTCTTTGTCTAGAGACAGTCCACTCAGCTTGCACAGAGACAGACTGGGAGTTTCAGGGAGCTAACACTGCCCCTTCCCCAGGATTACTGAATAATTGACAGGCACTTGGTGAGTGAGTACCCCAGACCCCTCACCCCACAAGGGACACAACTCTAAGGCATATTTTTTACCATTTACCTGCCCAGTCAAAATGAGCTCCAGGCACTCTTGGTGGTCACCTGTTTGGGAACACACACTTTATTGATTTTGTTCCTTTCCCACTGGAGTTTGCTCTAAGAATCTCCCAAATAAGCTACTTGCTCAAAAACTTCTTTCAGGGTGTGCTTCAGGGAGATCCCAAACCAAGAAGTCACGTCATGCTTTAATACTTATTAAGTGCTATTCAAATGTGAGCTTCCTGTTACTGTCAAAATGCTCATTTGAAAATGCAGTTTTACTAGAGGTGACAGATCTACCAAAAAAGGAAAATCAATCTCATTCTGGTGAGATAGGAACTCTGCTAGACTTTAATACAAAGGATGTTCAAAAAGCTCATGGCTCATACTATCAAAAAGCTGTGAATGGGTTTCAAATTTTTTGCACCAAAATAAACTTACTATCAATTCCAGTTTTCCGTGAACCTTTTGAAGTTTCCTAATATCATTTTTTACAAAATAAAAATAGAACCACAGTTTTTATGATTAAACTCAACAAACAGAAAATTACTGTACCAAATACC